GCATTGCTCCTGACCCTGGTCAAAATTCTGATCTCCCCTACTAGCTCACCCCACCAGCAAGAAAACACAGTAGTGTTGTCACTGCTGTCGTTATAACCGTCCAAGCAATCAGTGTTGCCGTAGCGGAAACCTTTCTCCCTTCCTCCACGACTGGAAGTCGTCATTTTCGGGTGTCTTGGCGGATTTGGACCGAATATCGAGGCATCGATGAGTGGTAGCCTGATAGCCAAATAGCAGCCGCTCATCCAAATTCCCTTCGTGGCCTTCGAAAACATGCGCTGTTTCGAGCGAAGTGGAATCTTATCGTCAAATGCGTATCCTACCACGGGTAAGCCAGTTTTTCCTTTTATCCTCGTAGGCAGAAGAAGACTTACCATGGACGTGTTACCAGCTCTATCCGTTCCGCAGCTTGCAAACGAGCAGAAGACACAGCAGATTATGTTGAGTCGGAAAAGGCTGGTGGAGTGTTGATATTCAACTGAAAACAGCCTTCCGGAACTTTGTAATACCTACATACAGGTAGGTAGCGATCTCGATACTGACAGTGTGTCTCAACAATCGAGGACTTCTTAGTGAAGTGAGATGACTCTTCCACTGATTCGGGACCACGACCTTTGGCTTGGCTCCAGATTATCTTGAGCCGATTATCACTTTCGGATACCTTGGCTGAAGGGGAGTATGAGGATTAATCTCATATAGTATATAGACCCAAGCCATGAAATTTCAACACCTTGTCGCATATATCCCTGCCAGCTGCGAGCAGAACATGGTTAGGGTCTTAATGCTTTCCCCGCACAATTGGTCTGTCTCAGCAGGTTCTTCGAGCTGGTCAACATCAAAAAGCGGATGCTCAGGGTCAGATTCGCCGCCATAGACCCATGACGCCTGGTCGTAATGGGCTATCTCTTCTAGCTTTCCATCCTTAGACAAGAAAACTTCTTGTTCGGCCCGAAACGTACGAAGCAGCTGAGCCTACTTTAAGCAGTAGGTCGGGCAAAAACACTTGCCAAAGGAAGGAATCAGCATTAAAGCTTCGGTGGAACTGGCACGCGACTGCTCACAACATAGCCCGTCGAACCACGATAGACTCTCGCATTATGGTCTACCATAGATAGAGAGAGAATCATCAGTGAAGCTATAACCTCCTAGCCGCGAGGCTGTCACGACTCCGCATTCAGATGTGGACATGAAGTTGGGCTCCGGCATTCGTAGCCCAGCATTTGTCATGCAACGCGAGGATTTGTGCGCATCTTTCAAGTCTTGCTCATACCGAAATCTGTCCTGCTGCCCTCAACAGCTACAATCCTCCGGTGTCGACATGTTTTTTAGCCGTCTGTGTCATCACGAGGAACGACGGAGATTGGTCGCTCCAGCTTCCATGCCACGAAGAGGGTAGTAGATTCGGCTATCTCCGACTTGGTCGAGGACTGCCACAGCTGGGCAAGAGGATGACCAAGGAGAGTTGTTTTGGTGGCTGTCTTTGATTGGAGCTCGTTCAAATGCCGTATGAGCCACTTGTAGACATGGTGGTAGTTTATAACTTCAGTAAGGTAGAGTCGGCGTGGTTGAATTGATTACTAGAACAGTTAGTACAGTCATGAGAAGAACATATCTAGAGACACCTACAAAAGTCGAGGCGGGCATCGGAAGTCCCAGAGTAGCATTTTCCCTGGCCCTGCGTGTTGATTTATCCTTCCCAGTCCTGTGATCCAACCAGGCCAGCAAAAAGAATGCTAGGTGATCGTCAGGGCATTAGCCGGAGAAAGCTGGTGTCGGTGACTCAGGAACCAGCTGTTGGTCGATTAACGGTTGCGAATTGGACCGCATTGTCGTCTATTGTCAACTGAGCGACAGGCCAAGCGTGGATGATTTGATTGTGGCTTTTTGTTTTGACGGTGCTTGCTCCACAGTCTTTGAACAGCTCAACTCCCAAGGAACTTCTTGTGGGCATTCGCCCGCATCTGTTGCAACAAGGTCTACATCGAGTAGTTCCTGACGCCTGGCTTGTCCTATTATCTGGGTGGAATGGTAAGTCCCTGGGAGCTTCAGCTGTTGTGACACCGTCCATGTAAAAACAACCACAGGTAGTGCCTCGTCTGGCTTTTCCAGAAACACGTCGTCAAGTGCCAGCGGTAATCCTTCGAAGTTATATACCGGTCCAAAAACTGTCAATGCCAAATCCACCGCATACTAACAGAGCTCAAACAAATCGAATAATGAGGGTTCAAGAGCATTGGAACAACAGTAATGAAGAGCTTGGTAACGGTCATGTCAAAAGGGATGGCGTTGCCACATCATGCATCTCAAGCTACCAACAATAGGGAGCATTGGGTTTCAAGTGCCTGTGTCACTTTAAAATTCCAGGGCAACATCGTGACCACCGGGGAATTCGCAGAGTTGTTGGCCCACTAGAGTGCGACTGGACAACCGTTGCGGTCTTCCAATACTCTTCTCATGATCCAGCATATTTTCGTACTGCCACCCAGAACAGCAAGAGCACAATTACTTGCTCCACTCGCAACCGCTGTGGTTTCAAAATGCCGCACATGGTTCAGAATAGTAGGATACGTAGGCATGGCTGCCAGAGTGCAGGGAAGCTAAAGTAATAACAACGGGGCATGAGGAGGGAAGAGAAGAAGAAAATACATGGCCTTACGTCCAACCGGGATACAACATCCACCTTCCCTTACAAGCATTATCATCCACATGTGTAAGATGTTATAAAATCCTTGGGACGGCAACATGTAAAAGATGTGGCATATCGTTGGATATGAGTGTCTACGGGCCGTCAGTCCCAACAAAGCACACTGGCAGGGAGGGTAGACTGACTGTTCGATACATGGCAAATCCAGTATCCTTGCGTGGTCCATAAGACTACCACGCTAAATGCAAATGACAGACACAAATTTGACGGTACTTTCCCCCCATATTAGTAGGCCTGCGGGAAAGCAAAGTGGTTGCCTGTATCGTCATCTTTGAAGAAACAGTTCCCTATCGTTATATCCTCCTCCGTCACATCCGAACTGCATGTCCTCTTCTTATGTTGCCTGTTTAGAATATCGCAGCCCCAATGGCAACAGTCGTTCCGGCTTTGTCTGGTATCGTTCTAGGAAGTGATTCGAGATCACGCAGCAAGGGCCCGCAGACTCTCAGCTTCGTCTTGGGTCGCAGGTGGTTCCAGAGCGATAGTCTCCATTGGGTCGAACCGCCCACACAGAGGCACCGACAGGATTATCAAGCGGAGACGATACTCCGGAGGGGACCATTGTGTTGTAAATAGCAGTTCTCTCCCGATGCCGATCAAGATCTCCACAAACATCCAAGCAAGCTATCGGACTCTGCGGTTTCAGTGAAATTTCCCCACAGCATCATGTTCCAGCCTTACATATGCACCATATTTCTGCTTTCTGGATTGAAATTCCACGATGCGTCTTTTCATTACCTCAGTTCTGGTCAAGCAGCTATAGAGGCGACAGTTGTGGTCGATGAGAAGTTTCCCGTGCCATCTGAAGCTTTTTGTGTGGCACCGAAGTTTACTCCGACTGCTCCTCCGCTGTACGGAGACGAATATATTGTTGCGGCTCTTGGGAATCCGCTCAAATGGGACGATATACAATTCACAGTACAATGGTCATCTGGTAATACCATCAATCAAGGTTCATTAGAAGGCGGGTGAGAAAAGGTAGGAACATGACACGTACTGGATTATTACTGTGCCCACAACCTTTTCGGCTTGATCTTGCCTATCACCGGACGCCGGGACGTTGAAACGTCCCATGACTTCTTGGTGACCAGAATAATAGCATCTTGCAGAAACTAGGGTTCCTCCAGGGTATAGCTCGCTGAGCCACGAAAGGCCATATTGATGAATACTCTCATCAGGCTGAGGTGAATCACTTAAGATGCGCTCTGCTGAATAGGTAGCATTCACATTGAGTCTAAACATACTCGTATCGTTTTCGGCAGTTTGGTTTGCTGTACTTTGGATTCTCGAAGCTGAAGATTGGGCGACGAGACCCTTTGTCCTGATGTGCTGAACAATGAAGCAAAAGAGATACCAAACGAAGGCCACGTCGGGCCTTGTCTTCGTATCAATTACTATCTCTCGAGAGAACCAGTCCTGCGGGTGTATGGTACAGTGAAAGGAAGTGATGCGTTGTGGAAATTGTGCACGATCACCTGCGCTCGTACGCGAGGTTGGCGACCTTGTGGAGTCTAAGAATGGATGTTGTTCCAACTCTCGAAACTCAAGGTGGTTCTCTGCCGCTGGAAACCATAGGGCTTGCAACCCGAAGCTCAGGGCAGGCACGATAAGCGAGCTTCATTTCCATGGTGGTGGTGGCTCGGGGTTCACCAATTACGGCCGTAGTCGGTTTCGATGGTAATCATGCGTGCCATGATGTGGTAAAGGCCACGTGCATGAATACTCAGGTTTCTTCCGGTCTATGTCCGAGACTCGACTACACCCCGAGATGGTCGACTTGACGCTCTCTCCGAATAGAAAGTTGAGAAATCAGAAAGGCTCGAGGTTTATCGAGCAAGTCACTTGATGTTTGCTGTAATATAATGAGGGGCGATGTCGACGGTGACAATGAGTCTGAGGTGCAAAATTCACAAGCAAGCTCAGAAGACTGTTGTATATACTAATAGTAAGGTGTGGGTGTATAAAGAGAGACTAGTATTGCTGGTCAAGCATATATATAAAGAGCTACTACCAAAGGAAAAGAAAAGGCATGCGCGTCGGGTGATAGATGGAAGCGAGGACGCTCCCCATATGTAGGCAGAATCAGAGAGGAGAAATTACGCTACTCAAAGTAATCTCCTGATGGCTGTTTCTGTTTCTCTGGTAGCACAGGGTAGCATTCCTTGCCACCCAACAGAAGCAGTGGTCCAAACAGTGACTTGATGCGACACCCGTTTGCGATAGAGACTTTTCCATCCATGTCCAACGATCAGGCCATTTCTACATTTCGCACGCGTATACTTCAGCCCAATTGTCATTACAATCGCGCCAGATGGTTCCCCCCATCGATGGGAATCACAGCTCCATTCATGTGGCTTGCTGCCCGACTGGCCAGAAAGACCACCAAGCCCGCAATGTCCTCCTTCCTGCCCAGCCTTCCGTTTGGTGACCTCCGTTCCAGATCCTCCAGTCCTCCCTTGATCTTGATCAGGCCATTGGCCATCTTGGACGGGAAGAATCCTGGCGCAATGGCATTACACAGGATGTGTCGGGGCCCCAAATCGACGGCCAGGTTCCGGACGAGATGCATCACAGCTGCCTTGGAGGCAGAGTAACTGAAGGTTGCACTGGGGCCTAGGCTGCCCAGTGTAATGCCTGCAGTCGAGCCAGTTACGATAACACGCGACGGGTCATCTTGGGTGGCCCGTGCCGTCAGCAGGGGAGTGAACTTTTGGATGGTGTAGAAGACGCTCTTCACATTCAGGTCCATGACCTTGCTAAACTTGTCCTCTGGGTAGGTATCAAACTTCTCGCCCCATGTTGCACCGGCGTTGGCGAAGAGGATGTCGAGATGAGAGGTGGTCTTGGAGACCTCTGCGACGAGCCGGTCTAGCTCCTCCATATTAGAGTTGTCGGCGGGGACAGCGATGGCGGTGGCGTGCGGGGGTTTGTTGGGGAGCGCATTTAGGGCCGCAACGGCTTCGGCGCAGGCAGATGCCTTGCGCGAGGTGATGTAGACCTTGGAACAGCCCGATTGGAGGAGACTAGATCAATTGGTAAGATCCTGGTTCATTCTGGGGCGATTGCTTCTGTCCTACCCACTGGCAGTGTGCAGACCTAGACCGCGAGAGCCTCCAGTGACGAGGGCAACCTTTCCCTCCAGGGAGAAGATGGTGGGGAAATTATCCAGCTGGACCTGTTCAGGGGCAGACATGATGGATGAATGACGGTGGATGTGAGAGTTATGACGAGGACAGAGTGAGACGAGGCTACAGAAGTTATGTATTGACTCTCATCAGCTCAATTGTTTGGTTGCCGACCAGCATCCGAGGCTGTAACATCTCAACCCCGCACGGTATGTGACAGTTGGCCACTACGCATATTTTACCACCTTACTCCTTGTAGATACTTGTCTAGCTGCTCCTGGTTAGTCTGGAATTGAAGCAAGTATGGGTGATGGGGGAATGCTGATTGGCCAGTACAGATGCCCTCTATGTACACCATCCAGATGAATGGAAGTGAAAGCCGACCTCCAGTCCATTTCCTCAGGGATTCCCTCGAAATTGTCTATTATGAGGTGCTCAGCGAAGATCTCCTAAAGAGGGAGAATGTCTCTCTGTGACATCATTCAATGCATCCCACTCTCTCTGTTCACAGCCAATGACGGGGATCGAAACTTGCTCAATCGTGCGCAGCAAGGTCCCCATCTGGACAGATCCCCCACCTCGGATTGGTGGGAGAAGAGTACCTTGTAGGATGACAATGCCCTCAAAATGTCGTGATGGCTGAAATACCCCTCTTACATCCTTCACTCTTGAATCATCTATCATCTCTCCTTCTCCCTTCATCAACATCACCGCCATCCCAACCTATCCAACAGCTACACAGCACAACCCAGCCAAACCACCCAACATGACTTCCAAATACACCCTCCCCGACCTCCCCTACGACTACGATGTAAGCCCTTCCCTTCTTCTCTCCCCATTAGACCCCATCTCAACAACAACAACAGGCCCTCGAACCCATCATCTCCAAACAAATCATGGAACTCCACCACAAAAAGCACCACCAAACCTATGTGAACAACCTCAACGCCGCCCTCGCCTCTCAAGCCTCCGCTCTGGACAGCAACGACATCACCCAGCTCATCAGCATCCAGCAGAAACTCAAGTTCAACGGCGGCGGCCACATCAACCACTCGCTGTTCTGGAAGAACTTGGCTCGCTACGACTCCCCGGCCACTAAGCTGGAGCAATCCGCCCCGACTCTCAAAGACGCTATTGAGAAGCAGTGGGGATCAGTCAAGAACTTCACAGATGCGTTTGAGGCGGTTCTGCTGGGCATCCAGGGCAGTGGATGGGGCTGGCTGGTGAGTTCGGGGAAGAAAGGATTCCTCGAGATTGTCACGACGAAGGATCAGGACCCGGTGACAGGGCCGATTCCGGTGTTTGGGGTGGATATGTGGGAGCATGCTTATTATTTGCAGGTGAGTATCCCTTTCAATCTCATGGATCAATGCTAATGGTTATGGTGTAGTACCTGAACAATAAGGCTTCCTATGTGCAGAATATTTGGAAGGTGATTAACTGGGAAGAAGCAGAGCATCGGTATCTGAATGGTACGGATGAACTGGGTTCGTTGAAGTTGTAGTTAGCCTCTTTCTCTCTATGTATTTATCAAGTATCAACAGACTGTCTATACCAGCCACATACATGATTGATTGATTCATCCCTTCTCTTCCATTTTCATATCTCTATAATAACCATATAACGCACCACAATACAAAACAAAACAAATCATAAAAAGATCAATCATACCCCACCACCCCCCTCCCCATATCCATAATCCCAGTCCCAATCCCATCACCAACACCAACACCATCCATCCCAACCCCAACCCTCACACACCTCCCCACAATCCCCCTTTCAGAGACCCCTAACTCCAACCTCTCCGGCAAGGCAACCTCAAATTCCTCATCCCCACCCCCACCACCTTGCATCTTCATCATCGGTAATCGGAAATAATGTAACGGGGATGATGTATTCTCCACCGTGAGATCTCCGTATTTTCTACACCACAATGTTAGTAACTATTCGCACAAATAGAGCTAATAGAAAGAATTGGATAGAATAGAATAGGATGGGATATTGCATACTCAATCCGCATATACACCGCCGCACTCTCCCGGAATGATCTGCGAGTGAGAGGGTCTGGGATGCGGATGAGGGCTTTCGTTGTTGTTGTCGATTCTTTTCCTGTTTGGGTATCTGATGCTGGGTGTTTGGTGTTTTTGAAGAAGAGGTAGTATGATGGGTTTGTCGTTGGTGATGTGGAGTCATTTGAGGATGATGATGAAGGCGAAGAGGGCGGTGATGATGAACTTGATGATGATGTGGTTGATGAAGAAGAAGGGAAGATAACAGCGATGAGAGAGCCAGAGCTTGGGCGGGAGGGACCGCACATCTTCAGTGTCTTTCTTTTATTTTATTTTTTGTTCCTTGGGGGTTTATTTGTTCACACTGTACTGGGGGAGATATTCTGTATAGTTTGTGTTGGTGGGTTTATGTGAGAGAAGAAAGGAGAGTATAAATGGAAGATGTTCTGTTTATTGAGAGGAAATAAGAAGGGACTACAGTTTTCTATGTCTACTATATTGCCTAGCCCCCAAGGTACGTAAACGCTTAGATAGTAGCATGATATGGACCCGTCTCAGTCACCAAGGTACCACTGAAAGCAAAGCTGCTCAAATGTGCGCATCTTTGGATATGTGTGGGGCGCCACCGACTATTTTGTATGGGGGTGGGGCGGTGGACCACCTATCATCGATTGAGGATCTACTGAATGGGATAAAGAATGGGAGAGACTATGAGCGAGTTTGCGGGGGTTTCTTGTCTAGAGTATAATTAGAACAAGGCAGAGAGTATTCTGCTGAATGCCATGTCTCTATTGATACCATACACATCTCTAACAATGTCTACCCATTTATGTACTACTCACCCGCACTGGATGCGCCTCGGTGTTGAACACAAATTGGTTCCCGCTGCCGGGCTGCACTTGCCAGGCCGCATCCTCTGCAAACGCCATGTACGAGTATTTCATCACCTCGGCAAACAGGAAACTCTCCTGGTTGTCGTACCGGCTGCCGCCGTTGGCCGCGTTCACGTCCGTCAGACCTGAAAATCCAGAGCTGGTGCGGCAGTAGTCATTGACGGCGCTGAATGCGCTCCAGATCCAATCCCGGTACTGATAACACTGTTAGTTACTATTTACCCTAAAGAATGAGGAGGCCAAGACTTACTGTTTCCTGCCCGGTAACTCTCCAGGCATAGTAGAAGCTTTCAATCACTTCCGGGCGCAGAATGTACGCGCCACTCGTGATGTAAAATCCGGCTTTCTCATAGAGCGACTGCTGGCTCGAGGGAATGTCGCTGGTATCCCAGCTGAACGACTCCGGACCAATTCCCGTCAACGTCGAGTTGTACGTGTCATGACACCCGCTCACCAGGTCCAGGCCGAAATTAATGAAGTCCGTCCGGTTCAGTACGGTGCCTCCTAGCAAGAAGCTACCTCCGTCGAAGCAGGTCAAGTGTTGCGAGCTCAATCCCAAAGTTCCGTTGTTGTAGGATGCCAGGAAGGTCAGGTCCGGGCGGGATGAGGGGTGCGACGCCAGATGCTGCATCGTCGACTGCGCCGCGGCCACCCAACGGTCCTTGTAAAGACCGAACCGCTTGGGGTCGTACACGTACATCTTGATCAGGTACTCGTAGTAGGAGTCATCGCCACCATTCCAGCTCACCTGCGCATCTGTGAACTGTCCGTTGCTGATGTTGATGTTGCTTCCAACCAAGCCCGGGAACGGCTCCGCAGACTTGGGCTGCGGATTGAGGAGGTACGACTCGGCCTTCTGGCTCAGGTCGGCATACGTGGTGTCACCCGTAAGATCCGACAGGCGCGTCCATTCCAGCGCCAGTGTACCCGTCACAGCCAGACCATTGGTCTTGGCTCCATCATTCCCCCCTGAGGTGATATTGAGGTTGTTGTACGGAACCCCCGAAGGCGTGTCGAAGGCGAATTTGAGCACGTCGGCGAGGTTCTTCGATTGGGTCAAGAGCACGTCGATTTTCGACGAGTCTTGCACCAGGTCGGACACGGGCCCCTTCAGCAGATCGTATCCGGACAGCATGCCACCCAGATAACGGATGGTGGTCTCGAAGAGGCTCACGGTGGTGTTTGTCTTAGAGTAATCAATCTTGGCCACGTGGTCCAGGATCTGATTGACAATGGTGGCATTGCGCATGATCACGGCTGTGGATAGTGCATCCACGGCAGAGGCACCCCATCCATTCCGGGAGTCGCCATAGCCATTCGACACGGGGTGCAGCTCGTCATGAGGGAAGGCGTATTGGAGATAGCCGTCCCAGGCGTGCGAGAATGCAGCCTTAATGGCGTCTGCGCGCGATTGAGTGGTGTCGGAATTACTGTGCAGGACGGGCTGGGAGGAGCCAAAGTGAGGATAAGCGGCAGAAGGACCGGCGATGGCCAAGGCCGTCAAGGACAAGGAAAGCGAGGGTAGATGCATGGTTTGGCGAAATGAGTGACAACCGAGTGAGTAGACCCGAATAAAAAACCAAACTGGTCTTGCACAGACCACGAAAACAGGACGCAAGAATGAGAGCACGTCAACAAGCGGACGGAATCGGGTATAAATAAGACGATCTACCGGCTAAAGAATGCGGAGAAGCAGACGGGATCAGGCTGAGAAGGAGAGTTATGCTGCATCCATTTTGGGGGAGACCCGCAGACTACTAGTTTAGTTGCAGGATTCCATCGACAGTGCCAGTGTAAGGACACACACAAGAACTGCTTTGCATACAATGACGGCACAGGGGAAGATGGAGGCGGCCCTGGAGTTTCCCAAAGAGGAAAGGCAGCCAGCAGTCCCTGGTTCCTGGGCGGGGCCAAGCCCCAGTCCGCTAAGCTGCTTTGGGCCCACCACCGCCGATCTGAGCCTCCGATTGGAGGGCCAGCCATGCAAGGGTGGATTCCTCTGCTGGTCCCCGAGGGGTATTCCTGATGTGATCGGTACTTGTTCCTGGCTGGCCGTGCAGGCAACCCAGCAGGTACTCCATCCTCACTTCATACCCATCAGATACTTCAGGGTGGGCGCTTAATTTAACTCGAGACTTGGCGGGGTGCCACAGTCACATCGCGATGGCCCGTACGGAGGACTATTTAGTCGATCATTCGGGCAGGTCAGTCCGCACAGCAGGTGATGAGGATGGGCAGATGATCGCCTGGAGATTCGGAGACCTCAGACCGACTAGTGGAAAGTAGGTTTGAAATCGAAAAAGCCAAAGGTAATCGCCTGGACTAAGGGTCAGTATCTCTGGGCCGTTCTCGATATGGTTAGATCGAGCCATAGGATATTCTTGTCCCTGTCTCACACGAGCTGCATCAGATGCTTACCTTGACAAGGTGTGCCTGGGGTTGGGCGTGGGCTGACAACCCCAAATAGTACTTGTCTATATCCCCGCTTTCAAATGTCAAGACCCTTCAAGATCGGGGTGTCCTCGGCTGTGTGGTTAGAGTTTACTACATCAGGTCACCAGTCTACTTGCAGAAACATCGCATGTGCTTCATGATTGCAAGTGATCCACCTGGACGTCAACAGCAGCGTCTCGAATATGAGCACCGCAGGGCAGGTTCGGTCACTAGTTTCATCAGACTGTTTTTGTTGGCTTGCTCCGTGAATGAAGGGAATATCTTCTCTCCCTAGAATGGGATAGATCAAGGGTCTCTGACCCTTGGTCACTTCCAAGCAGGGGCTATGGTGCTGCCTCGGGACTCTCACCCAAAGGATAGTTACTGTACGTTGACTGAAGACAATAGCTTGCGCCTGGCTTCTCTTCACACAAACCCAAGAGACACTGCAGTAACGGTTTGTTTTCAATGCTATTCATACTATTGCCGCCGAGAATGATAGCCTGGCAACCCTAACGGCGAGTTGCTCGCGACGTGGCTATCATAACACGCTTCACTGTTACGGAAAATGACAACCTAGACACATTTCATGCTGTCTCGCTAAACAGTCAGTACGCGGTTATTGCTGCTGCCTCTGATAGTCCATTGTACCTGTCTTCAACCAGTTGTTCTTAATCGACCTGCTGGATCTGCTCAAATAGAGCGATGCACAGCGAAGAGGCACCGGAAAGGACTGTCAATTTATGGTCTCTCAAGACATGCTGGCTGTAAGTAAATGTGGACATCTAGGAGCAGGTAATAGGGTAGTAATAGCGCGCCCGATCGGCACTGGGGCCGACCGAATGCGGGATGCAATGCCGCAAGTTATGCCAACATGTGGAGGTGACAGCATTCGGAGGATATTCGCCCATTCATTTGAAGCTGCATAGTAATTCCTCCGACATTAATCGGCCCGTAGTGACCGCACGGAATTAGTGTTGAACTGGATTAATATAACACTTAATTGAATCCGGTGGAGGAAATTGACGGGATCCCACAGAATTTCATTGGGACATGCCAACCCCGCCAACAGGATCAGAAGGAAACTTCCCATTGAAGCTACAACAAGCTTCAGGAACATGGCCAGACCCGACATCTGCCCAAGGGAAGTAACTCTGTGCGACCGTCAGCCATGGATGAAGGCATCCCAACACTGCCAATCCAATCAATTGCAAGGCATTTGTGGCGGGCGGTGAGAACCTCTCCGATGGCGGGGCAAAAGAACTGGAAGAAAATTGCAGGCGGAGACTTTCTTTATCTTTGCCCCGATCCGCCCCGGACGGACTGACTCACTTTCTCTCGCTCGTCTCTCGCGTCTTTTTTCCCCAGTTGTCCAACTGCTGTTTTTCTTCCCCGTCTTGGGGATCTTACTTCTGATTCTCTCTCCCTGAACAATTCCCCTAGAGAGTTCCCCTCTCATTGATCCATCATGGCCACTCCCCTCCTCGTCTCGTACGACCCCGCTTCCCCCTCCTCCGGCCTCTCCCTCAAGCAGATCGCCTACTTCGGTCGCGTCCTCGTCAAGGTTTCCAGCCTCGCTCAAGCTGAGGACTTCCTCAAGCGCAACTTCCGCCTCCTTGATGTCTACGTTGACGCTACTGCCATTACCTCCACTGGCGACCTCGTCGATATCCTCAATGCCGGCGCTGCCAAGATCTTCATCTCCCTCAACCAGCTGACGGCCCTGTCCCAAGAACAGTCCGTCCCCTCATCACGTCTCGTCGTCTATGCCGCCGAGAGCCAGGTGGATGCCTTCAAGACCTGGGTGGGCGAGTCCACCGAACACAAGGATGCTGGCTTGTCGACCGACTCGTCTGCCGTCAAGGCCATCGCTGAGAAGCTTGGCATGAACCTGGAAGCCCAGAACTTGTACCGCACATACACTAGCACCCCCGCGGAGGAGACGCTCAAGGACACCTTGGCCCAGGGCGGTGTCAGCGTTGTGTCTGCCGATGCATTGACCTTTGAGCACAAGGAACCCAACGGCAAGATCGTCGCCGCCTCTCTCATTGCTGCCCGTGCTGTCGCAGACCAGAGCAACGGTCTGTACGCCACCACTGTGACCGATGAGCGTGGAACGTGTCTGGGACTGGTGTGGAGCAACGACGAGAGCATTGCCGAGGCCCTCCGCACTGGCACAGGCGTGTACCAGAGCCGGAAGCGTGGTCTTTGGTACAAGGGCCAGTCCAGCGGAGACGTGCAGGAGCTGATCCGCGTTGGCTTTGACTGCGACAGCGATTGCTTGGTCTTTGTTGTTAACCAGATTGGCAGAGGTAAGTCTATAGTACCCAGTACGCTTGAACCTACTAACCATTTTCAAAGGTTTCTGCCACCTTGGAACCGCCAGCTGCTTCGGCCCCTACAACGGTCTCGCCCGTCTTCAGAAGACCCTGCAAGCCCGCAAGGCTGATGCGCCCGCCGGATCCTACACTGCCCGCCTTTTCAACGAGCCCAAGCTCACCCAGGCCAAGATCATGGAGGAGGCTGATGAGCTGTGCCGCGCCAACACCAAGGAAGAGATTGCCTTCGAGGCTGCGGATCTTCTCTACTTCGCTCTTACTCGCTGCGTCGCGGCGGGTGTCAGCCTGGAGGATGTGGAGAGGAACCTGGACCTAAAGAGTCTGAAGGTGAAGAGGAGAAAGGGTGATGCCAAGGGCCCTTGGGCAGAGAAGGCTGGTCTGGCCGAATCGAAGCCCGCTGCTGAGCCTGCTAAGCCTGCTGAGCCCGCTCCCAAGGCCGATGAGCCCATGCAGATGACCCGCGTTGTTACCGCTTCGACCCCCGAGAATGTCGTGCAGGACTACCTCAAGCGTCCTTCTCAGAAGTCCAACGATGCCATCGTCGCTCTCGTTCGCCCCATTATCGACGACGTCCGCAAGAACGGTGACGCCGGCGTGCTCAAGTACACCCACAAGTTCGAAAAGGCCACTTCTTTGACCTCCCCGGTGCTTAGCGCTCCTTTCCCGCCTGAGCTGATGAAGCTGTCCCCCGAGACTCAGGAGGCCATCGACATCAGTATCTCCAACATTGCCAAGTTTCACAGCGCCCAGAAGGACAGCAACGAGGGCTTGAAGGTGGAGACCATGCCGGGCGTGGTCTGCTCTCGTTTCTCTCGTCCCATTGAGCGCGTTGGTCTCTACATCCCCGGTGGTACTGCCGTTCTGCCGTCGACCGCCATGATGCTGGGTGTTCCCGCTATGGTGGCTGGCTGCAAGAAGCTGGTCTTCGCTTCTCCTCCTCGCGCGGATGGCAGCATCTCGCCTGAGATTGTCTACGTTGCGCACAAGGTCGGTGCTGAAAGCATCGTGCTTGCCGGTGGTGCTCAGGCAGTCGCTGCTATGGCATACGGCACGGAGAGCGTCAGCAAGGTGGACAAGATCCTGGGTCCTGGCAACCAGTTCGTCACTGCCGCCAAGATGTTGGTCGCCAACGACACCTCCGCCGGTGTCAGCATTGACATGCCCGCTGGTCCCAGTGAAGTGCTGGTGATTGCGGACAAGGACGCCAACCCTGCTTTCGTCGCTTCTGATTTGCTGAGTCAGGCCGAGCACGGCGTGGACTCTCAGGTTATCCTCATCGCCATTGACTTGAGCGAGGAGCAGCTTCAGGCCATCGAGAAGGAGGTTGACGTTCAGGCCAAGGCTCTGCCCCGTGTGGACATTGTCAAGGGCTCTCTGGCGCACTCGGTCACTTTCGTTGTGCGCGACCTCGAGGAAGCCATGGCTCTCAGCAACGACTACGCCCCTGAGCACTTGATCCTGCAGATCCAGAACGCCGAGGCGGCAGTTGAGAAGGTGCAGAACGCCGGTAGTGTGTTCATCGGCCAGTGGACCCCGGAGAGTGTGGGCGATTACTCTGCCGGTGTCAACCATTCTTTGCGTAAGTCTTTCCAATCTCTTCAAACTAAATTTGTGAACCAAGCTAATAGTCACAGCGACCTACGGCTACGCCAAGCAGTACTCCGGTGTGAACCTGGGATCCTTCCTCAAGCACATCACCAGCTCGAACCTGACGGCAGACGGTCTGCTGGGCCTGTCTCGCACGGTGGAGCAGCTGGCAGCAGTGGAGGGACTGGATGCGCACAAGCGGGCCGTGAGCATCCGCGTGGCGCACATGAAGAAGCAGCAGGCATGATTTGTACCAGCGGTTTACGATTGACGCATGTAATATGAGCATAGCAATAAAAGGTCTTGATGATCACTGTACATTAATGGTATCTCGAACGCCTCTAGTAGACACGGAACTTTTCCCACCACCGATGCAACGCGGAATCATAATCATGCCGTAGCAGTATGGACAATAAACAAACCACAAACCAAATGAAAGGAACAATAAATCACTTCTTCCGCTCACGAATCTTCCACTTGACACCATTCTTATTTGTGCCACCCACCACATTATCCATCCGACCACGCTGCCAATCCAGCTCGCGCTCCGCGGCCGTAATCTCTTTATACTGCTTCTGCAGCGCCTTGAGCTTGTTGACCCGCGCCTCCGCCGCACGCTTCCTCATCTTGCGAGCCCGACGAGCCTCCACAAGCGCCTGTCTCTCCGCCTCCAACTGCTTCCTCGACTTCTTCATCATCTGCTTCCCAAACGAATTATCCTCGTCCTCCTCATCCTCATCGTCATCGTCATCTTCCTCCCGTAACTTCTTCTTCTTCAACACTCTCTGCTCCTTCCGATCATCCGCAAACACCAACTTCCTGCTCTTCTTATTCTTCTTCTGGTCCACCTCATCATCATCCCCGAAATCAAAATCAAAGTCCATATCATCATCGTCGTCCACCACCTCCTCCTTCTTCTTATCCTCCGCACCCTCACCATCAAGAATCTCCTTCATCCCATCCTGCAACCGCACCTCCTCCTCCAACTTCTCCATCTGTCGTCGGATCCGCTCCCCGACTGTCCGCAGGTACCCCGCATCCTGCGTCTTGAGCAACTTGATAGCGTCGTGACTGAGACCGCGCGCAGCAGCCGAGTCGCGATTTCCTGCGGCGCCGTGTTTGCCTTGCCGAGCGGACGAATTCGACATCATACCGAAGGCGAACTCATCGGGGTTGCGGTCGCGGACTTTTTCTTGTAGACGCTTGATCTTTTCTTTCTTCGTGTTGTAGTCTTTCGCGCGGAGGGAGTAGTCCTATACAGTCATTGTGTCAGTATCATAGATACCTGAGGATGGTAAGGGTATGAGGGTATATATGTATGTATGTACCTTGTGCTTTTCAAGAATACCCCATTTCTCACGACCTTCGAGCTGACCACGCTCGCGGTGGTTGCGCCGCTGGACGGCATTGCGCATGGAAGACATGATGAATCCCCTTTTATCTCCCTGCGTGGAGAGACTTGTGAAGGGAGTGAAAAGTACTTGGTTGATTGTAGGGAAAGAGGATGGGGATAGATAGATAGATAGATAGAAAGTAATGAAAAGTCGGAGTTGGAGGACACTAAACCCAATCGGGTAGTTGCCGACCAACCCGTCCGACTTCTTTCTCCGCTGGATTCTAACTATTCTAGCTGTGCTAGACAACGCATGATCATTGGTGTTGTTTTCCTGGCTTTCCTTTTTTGAAGGCAATTTGATGCAATTGGTGGTATTTTTTGGTGATGAATTGATACCCTGTGTCGGATTCTCGGATTGATTTACGACAACGATTATTCCTCGTGTTCGGACAGTGCGCTACACCACACACCATTGCTTCTCGTATACACGACAGATTGACACCACCACCAGCAACACCTCTTCTCTACAAAGGCATACATACATACATACACAACCTCGACCTCAACCTCACCATTCCAAAATGTCCTCCACAACCCCCCAACCTGACTCAACAACAACCAAACCAAAATACAATCTCCGCAACCCCCTCCCCCTCTCCGCCGCCCAAGAAGCAGAAGTGAAGCAACTCTACTACAAGCGCGTGCGATCTCTCTGTGCGCCTGAAATCAAGGGTGAGCCTTTTTTCCATACCCCCAGTCCAATTCCTTTCCCTCAATCCAAACCAAGTCCAAAGGTTCCGCAACGCATACTAATGACTGGGGCTGTGTACAGCATTCGCCGAATGCGCCGTCAACCGCACAATAACAGCAACATGGGTATGTCGGGACCAACGACTAGCGATGAACTCGTGCATGGTAGCGCATGCGAAGCCGGAGGTAGAAGACCGGGCGAGAGAGGAGTGGTTTGCGACGCATGAGGAGCGGAGGAAGGCGAAGGAGGAGGAGCTTGCGAAGGTGGAGAGACGGAGGGAGGAGGTCATTCGCATGATGAGGGAGGATCAAGAGAGGCAGGCTGCTGCGAAGGCTGCTGCTGAGAAGAAGTAGAGGGAAATTGGGTGGGTGTGTATGTGTATGATGGGGATGGGGTTGGGGTTGTGTGCTGTGTGCTGTGTGTGGGTTGGCGTATATAAGGTTATCCTCCTCTTTTCTTTTCTTTTGTATTGATACTGCTGGTTTTGGCGTTTTGTTTGGCATTTACAGACTTAGTGTGTGTTCATTGGGACTTGTATAGTAAGTGGTTGTTGTTTGTTGTTGTTGGTGGTGATGTGATGGATGGAGCGACGATAGATGATGGGTGCATGATATTGAAAGGAAAAGGAAAAGTATAGCAAAGAAAGAATAGATGAATGAATCTCCCGTCCTCCTGTCCAAGTACTAAGTAGGTAGTTATAGTAGTAACTAGTTATCCTGCGCCCTAACGCCTCTATGCAGATACACACTCTCCACTGATCTAAACATCCGTCATATCCTTATCCCCATCCCCATCCCCTCCATCCCCATCACCCTCTCCCATCGCCGTATCCTCCCCAAAAACATCCTCCATCTTCCCATCCTCCTCCTCATCCACACCCTCCTCACCCTCCTCCACCTTCGTCCCACCCCCAGCACCACCACCCATGCCATTCTCCCTCCCAGCATCCCCAGACTCTTCCACCTCCTCCTCGCCCTCACTTTCCCACTCCTCCCTCATATTCCACCCCGTACCCGTCAAACAGAACCTCTCCGGCGGCAACCTCATCCCACCCATAACGACACTCTGATTCGCGGCCGCGGTCTTCGCCATCCCCTGACTATCAAACCCACGGCTCGCACCGGGCAAAGCCACGCGATTCCTCTCCGCCGCCACATCCATCAAAAACTCCTTCGGCAATCCCGCCTGGAACTGATAATGCAGTCGGGACGCAATAGCCAGCCGCAGCGCCGGTAGCGACACCGTATTAATTTCGGACGCGCCGGCGCGGGAACTTCCACCACCACCAGCGGCCTCGGGACCACCGGCGTAGCCTTCTGTCGCGAGATGCACGGCATCTTGCAGTACGGAGGACGTGTAGCGGTAGGCGAAGTCGAGGAGTTGCAGTGGAACGCGCTCTTGGTATGCTGTTACTCCCAGCGAGGAGAGGAGCATGTGGATGAGTCGGACATCGCGCGGACGTCGTGATTTGCCGCTGTCTTTGAGGGAGGTGGAGGGGATTTGGGTCGGTTGGGCGCTGGGGTTGGTGTTCGCGGCGGGTGCGGTGCTGGGGTTGTTGGTTGTGGTTGTTGTTGGTGGTGCTGCGGCGGGGGCGGTAGTGGTGGTGGTGGTGTTTTGGGATGCAGTGGGTTGCGTGCTTGATGGTTCGGCCGGGGGTGTGATGGGCTGGGTGGTGGGAGGTTGCGCGTGGTTTGGTGAGGCCATTTTGAATGATATTGAGGGTGGTGGTGGGTGAGGTGTTAGTCGTTGACGGGATAGTAGGTGTAGCAACGCGCTTCGGAGGCTGGTCAATTGGGGGGCGCTGGCATCGCCTGCTAATCGGAATGGGTTTTGAGGTACCCGATACAGGTGTAGATGAGTGTATGCGCGAGGGTAGATGGGTGCTGGGGTTGATGAAGCTGGAGATGGAAGCTGCCGATGAAGGCAAAGCGAGAGTCGGTCGGCAGGCAAGTCCGCGCTAGACCGCCTTCGGCAGGCGATTGATTCCCAGCGTTTGATAACGTAGATGTACGTAATGTTGCAGCGGAAATAGCAGAAAGTAGGTCATATAAGAGAACATAATGTGATGATGCAACAATTCTATACTGTGCAACTTAGTGTCTTGACTATCATACATTATGTGCCGCCCAACAAATGTAACAATATGGCTATGCGACCGTGCAAACGCCCATCATGCAATTCTATAACACAAACACCTCATCCATGCGATAAATGTCAAGTCCCTGGCCTATGAGTTGGCCATCATAATGCAGTTGATGCATCTTGCTGCCCTCAGCGTTTGGGAGAGCCAGGGTTGGATTGGCTTGGGCGAGGAGGGTCCAACTCCTCTTCCGAGGCGACCTCATCTTCGTCCTCAATGTCTTCTTCATCGGCGGCATTGAGATTGAGACTGTCTACCAGTTGAGATCCATCGACCGAGTCCTGCGAGATGTAGCTCGCCCCGAGCTCTTCTCCGGCCTCATCCTCGTCGACATCACTTGCTTCCTCGTCACTCAGCTCCCCGTCGTATTCCTCCTCGTCCTCTTCCTCGTCTTCTTCCTCCTCTTGGTCTCCTTCCTCCGCTTCGCTGTCTGTGCAAGAAAAGTCCTCTAAGTCCGGCGGAGGCTCTCTCCAATAGGTGAAGTCGGTATATTCTTCGCCGCCAGCCTGGACCAGCAGACTCACCGGCGGGAAGAAGTGATCCAGCAGTTCCGTCATCGAAACGTAACTGCTCTTGTACTTATTCAGACTAAGAAGGTCCAGGACAACCTCGGCATTCGAATTGATCGTGAAGATCCTGGTGGACGGGATGTTCACCGACCGGTAACTCAGCGCATCAGTAAGACGGTTGCCGAACCCGGCGTAGAAGGGATTCTCTTTTCCATTGAACAGGTTCAAAATATCCCGCAGGCAGGCCATCTTGAACACCTCGGGCTTCCTCAGGTAGATTTCTCGTCGGAGTGCTGCCATGGTTCGATCGGGACTCATGATGACCGGCCCCTTAGGCAGTCGCCAGCCGTCCTGATTCACTCCATACAAGTAGGCCCGCGTCGTATCCGCCTGGCCAACTGATCGACTTGTAAGGTACATGATGTTGTACCCGTTGTTGACAATGTCAGTATACAACTTGGCCACTCCAGCATGTGTCCAGTCACGGCCAATCATGTTCAGCACATGGCCCAGAGCATCAGACCTACAATCCATTAGCGACTTCCGACATCCCAGCTCGAAAACACTTACTTGGTGATGGTTCCGTCGATATCGGAGATTACAATGGGAATATTCCCGTTCCACAGATACATCGTCGCCGTGCAAGTAGCCCGGTTGACGCTGAACGACATGCTGTTCGCCCCAGGCTTCAAGTTCAGGGCCTTCAGCTGATTACTCGTGAGACGGAGGGTCTTCGCATAGTTTCGAGTTGGCTCTTGGGCTTCCGTCGTCGGTGACTGCGGCGGGGTAGGGAAGCCGGGTTGGACATCAGACTGGGTGCGATAGTGCCGGCTGGGTAGCGGCTTGTCCTGCAGAGACTTGTCGCTGTCACTGTGATATCCCGGGTCGGAGATGGCATGCTCGCTCATGGCGGAGCCCGGTCGCATCGCATTAAAGGTGGCGCGGCGGTTGGCAGCCTCCTTTGCTTCTTCGCTACTGTAGATCCACAAGTTCCCATGTTCGTCGGCCCCGATGAGAGCCCCGATGTCATAGGGGCCCTCCAACTCCTCGGCGAGGATCTTCCGCGCAAGAACTTCCGCTCGCAGAGCGTCCTCTTCGCTGCTCTTGTACCCAGTCATGTCGAGCATGAGGTCTCCTGTTTCGGTAACGTGAGACGGAATATTCGATCCGGAGAGTTTCTTCGATAGCGAGACGGCGCGAGACATCGCCTCCTCGGGAGTTAATGGCGGAGGGCTTCGCGAACGACCATCCTGGCCCAGATCATCGCTCGCGGCGCTGGCGCCAGAGGACTGCATCCCATATACTTGGTCCGCAACGCTAACACTGTTGGAGCGGCTCTTGGTCAACAGCACTGTATCCGTAGCCGTTCGGTCGATTTTGGCGGGAGTATCGCCGAAAGAGCCATGTCGGGACCTGCCCAGACTGGAGTCATCCGGCGACCGTGAAAGGGGAGTAAGGGTACCTGTCACAGATGGATGTCAATAACATGATATATGGGAGTCAGCAATAGTACCCACCCAAATCGCTCGATGCCCGCATACTCCTCGACAGCACCGGAAGGGCTGTTGAAGATTTCCCATCTAGATTGCCCGTAGATGATCGATCGAGATCCAAGTAATCGGGTTCCTGGAGCGATGGAGGGAGGTTCTCCTCACTGCGCATCTTGGGGCTGCTGCTTGGAGAAACCAGGGGCGAAGTCTGCAGCGAGGCGGGGATCTCGTCTGTTGTCTCAAAGACAAAGAAGGCCTCCCCGCCTTCGCCCAGCTTCATCGCATAGTCTTGCTTGACGCCATTTACGGAAAATTCCACCTTGAACGTCTTAGTTATATGGGGATTGCTGAGAGGATCGATGCGGGAACGGTACCTTCTTCTCGTACGGGCGGAGCAAAGAGAATTTGCCGAATCGAACATGGAAAGGTGAACAAGCCAAAGTTCCTATACGAGAGATTAGTGTCCGATTGACCTGGAAAAGATGCAAACCACGAACCGTCCTCTTGTTCAATCACGATCACATCGATTGCCCCGCTCAAGGTGGCTGGATTGATGGAGTTCCACGTCTTGGAGACGGAACCACTGATACTTCGGACGTACTGCATCCTGCGAGAATGACAGGGAAAGTCCCTGGAGAATATTGTAACAATTCCCAAGCGATAAAGGCGAAGCACAAAACAAAGAACACAGCAGATAGAGAGGGGGGTCGGAGGTCAGACGGCGGAGGTGCAGGAATTGCCGCCTACATACGGCCCATGTGACAATGCCCGATAGACATGCGCCGAAGTGGAATCACTAACGAGAGACGGTCACTTGCAAAGCGAATGAGTTGGCATGCAAGCATTTGACCACGATCAAAACCAAGCGAGTGGAACCTGCAGCACTAGCAGGGCGGATAGACAACAAAGGGAGACAGATAGGACAGCGAAATGGGAGAAGAGTTAGCAAAAGGCGATTCTATGATTGTTGGGACCTGCAAGAAGGCTCAACAGCCCAACCGCTTCGTCTGTCTCTCCCCGGCCGGGCGGTCCGTCATGTGCTCCAGGCTGCCTCTTCCCTGCCTTCCTCGGCTTCAAGCGGGCACTAGGCCGCTTCCGGCTGGCGCAGGCTATTTTTTGAGGAATCTCCCAATGTAGTTTAGTCTGGAACATCCCATGATCTGCAGCCCAGTTGACTCAGAACTGAGTCAGCAAGCAAAGTAGTCAGCTAGTTATCTCAGTCAGGTGACTCTGTCCCACTCCTCTCTCGGCAGCCCTCCGCGGAGCATCGGATTAATTCCTCCTCGACTCTCACGGATTATCTAGGTGAATCGTCTGCTTGCTGACCCTTCACTGCCCCTCGACGAGGTTGCCAGTCCCCTCCCTCCTTTCTCCCTCTCCATGGGTTTCGGACGCTGGGATGTATGAGCCGTTGTTTCTCTCCTTCGACGCCTACCCCAGCGTAGTTCCCCGAGTGAGGGTGCGAGGCGTCATGGCTCTCTTCCTGGCTGTCACCATTCTCTGGGCTCTGATCTGGTAGGTCGCAATATCTCAGTTAGTGTGTAGAGAGCGCACAACTAAATTAAACTTCTCTCAAAGGCTACTGTACCGTGCGTGGCAGGTCTGCCAGACCCCCAACGACGTCCTAGTTGAAAAGCTCGGTCTGGATATTCCTCCGCCACCAGAAGTCACCCTCGAAGAGATTACCGCCCGTGAAATTCGCATCGCCTGGAAACAACCCGAATTTCACAATTCCATCCACAAGCACATCATCCAACTGAACGGCATCAAGGGTACCCTCGGCAATGGCTCCCTCGAATCTCTTTCTGTTGATACTAATGAGTTGTCAGTGGGCGAATCGAAACGAGCGGAAACTGCAGTCGAAATCCTGAACTTGGTTCCCGGAAGTATATATCATATCTGCGTTCTTTCAGTTAGTGCTGCGAACTTCCAAACTCCAAGTGCAATCATCCATGTGCGCACAAAGTCTCTGCCCTTGTCGCAAACCCAACAGAATGCTACGGTCGGCAACCCTACCATTCGGGCGTCCATCCCCCGGTCTACCGCTGGTCTTGCTGCCCCCTCGGCGCCCGTGATGTCTCGGGAGCACAGCGGAGGGCAGCTCCAAGCCAAGCGATCTTCAGCCGGGCGGAAACCGTCTCCTGCGGCGAGCGGGACGGAGGTCTCGCATGGCCATGCGGAGGAGACACAAAAGAGCACCACGAGCGACGATCACGACGAGACTCTCGAACAACTTGCCGACCGATTGAAAACCCTGCAGCACGAGAACGAGACCGTCGAGAAGCAAACTACCGATGAAGAAGAGGAGCACATTGCTCTTCTGAAGGAACTCGAGAAGCAGCGTGACGAATTGAAAAAGCGGGTCAAGGAAAAGGATGAAGCGAGCGGCGACTTGAAGAAGCACGTTTACAAGCTGGAAAGTGTCAACCGTACAGTGCAGAGTGAGAAGGCGAAGCGTGAAAGACTCCTGCAGCAGAAGGAGTCTGAGCGTAAGAAGCGCAAGTCCGATATCGTCCGGTGGCAGGAGCGGATTGAGAATATGAACCGTGAAGCAGCGGAGTCGAAAGAGGAAAAGACACGACTGGAAGAAGAGGGAAAGCAGCGTGGAGATGAGATTCGGGAGAAGATTGCCAAGGAGCAGGCAGAGATGAAGGTCATCGATGACGAAATCCAAGACAAGGGCGGGCGTGTCAAGAAGCTGGAGGAGGAGAGGCAAACCCATCAGGAAGCAGATAGCGAGGATGGAAAGGAGCTGG